TTTTATTCTAATACCTCTGTTAGTCTCAATATAGTTTAATTTTTATTCTAATACCTCTGTTAGTCTCAGTATAGTTTAATTTTTATTCTAATATCTCTGTTAGTCTCAATATAGTTTAACCTATTCGACGTTTTGCTATACTTTATACATTTCATTTTCAACTCCAATGATTTCATTGTAGGGAAATGCTATAGTCCCGTTACGGAACCATTCCGTCGAGATTTGTAAACCGTTAGATCATTATGTAACCGTCGTGAATAGTTGATCTAACGGTTACAAACTTCAGTGGAATGATTCCGTAACGGGACTGTAGAATCTCCCTTTATTGTAATTCATAAATATCAATTTCAACTCCAATGAATCATTGTAATTCATAATTATCAATAATATAGGCGAATCAAATGAAGAAAATATAAAGGTTATTTTATGTGTTATAATATAATATATTTTGCACAAGACTTGAGCCAACCCGAGTCACTATAATGAAATTATTATCATATTTTCACGAAAAATTCTATGTTCATATATTTAAATAGAAATTCTAACGGATATTCCAATGGTATAGTTTCCATCAGAATGATTCCAAAAAAAATTTCAAGGATAATATCAAGTTGGAATGAGTTAATTTTCATTGGAATTTGATAATTTCAACGGTTATGTTTCCAACAGTTTTTTGCCGTAAGAATTTTCATTGAACTATGCAACATTCGTGTGATTGTTTGAATCTCTGTAGGCCAAATGCACGCGATTCACAATTGCACGTCACCTCCCAACACGTCGGGAGGCATACAACCACCCACGTGAGGAAGTCAACAACTTACGTTGAAAAATTTGTGTTGTGCGTGCGTTTAGTGAAGAGTTTTCACACTTTCACTTACAATGTACTTGACCAAAACGCTCGATAAAAGACTATCAGCATATAGTTTTTCCATCTCTATAAATAATTAAAACAAAAAAAAGGCGGTAAGAGGAAGAAATGAATAATCAAATGAAACAAAACACAAATAAAAATTCAATGAATTCCTTATGCACAAAATTATTTATATTATCTTGCAATACTAAGAAGGAATAAATATAGAGAATAAACTATCTCTAACATTGGTGTATAGTTATACAATAAGGTCTTTCTTGAAATAATCAATAATCCCTTAACATTATATAAAATTCTTATTGTGGAAGCACAAAGCATTGATCAAGGGAATATTTTCAAAATTTTCAAAGGGAACAAAACAAAACATTATTATAATAAATCAAATCCCAAGGTTGCTACACAAGCATATTTTTAAATATTATGATCATTGTCTACTTATGGTAATGTCACACAAATTCAAGACTCTTTTGTAAAGTCCTAATTCATAGGTGTGAGAGTTGTTATAATTTGTAGTCATATTAGAAAGAAGATTGCTCAATTATAGCTCCCATTTTGTCAACTTGTAACTCATTTTCTCTGGAGCAGTTGAAAATTTTCTCTTGTCTGTATACCAACTCAAGCCCCACCTCTTTATAACTAACTCATCTACATTACATATTTCTCTAAGTTGTCATCAATCAAGAAACAGCTCACATTTGTAAATAAAAAGTAAAAGGTTTGAGCCTTTGAGGCTATTTAATCTGTTTTTCTTTCTATCCTTTCCTCCTCATGCAATCAAGAAAGCTTTCAAAAATCCCATGCAACAGCCAATTTTCACACATGCTGCATTTTCTTCGAAAGAGGTTTCGACAAATCTGGTCGAGGCTGCCATGGTTCTTGAGGAGACATCCGAGGCCTAGACTCGTCATAAGGCGGCTGCGCAGCCTTAAAAACTCCAAACTCCATTCGAGAAGAAAATCGAAAGCAAACTCATCCCAAAACCAAAACACCCGAAGAACGAGACCCATTCGTCTCGCCACTTTCAACGCCGCCTTGTTTTCCTTAGCCCCGGCTGTCCCGAAACCCGAAGAACCGCTCATTTACGTGCAAGCCCAGGACAAAGAATGTCCAAAACCCAGAAACTCGCCGAGCCCGCGTCGTCCCAAGGGGATACTCAAGCAATCCGAAAACCAAGAAAACGGGCCCACGAGCGCGAAACCGAACAAGACCAAGTTCGTCTCGATCAACCTTCCGGAAAACGAGATCTCGATGGCGCAGAATTTGGTGATGAGGTCTCCGATATGTATCTCGGCTAGTTTGTTCGGTGGGCAGACGATTTTCGACGTGCTTAAGGAAGTCGATGCGGATGTGTTGGCTTTACAAGACGTTAAGGCAGAGGAGGAAAAGGATATGAGGCCGCTCTCGGACTTGGCTCGGGCCTTGGGGATGAATTACGTGTTTGCCGAGAGTTGGGCACCAGAATACGGCAATGCTGTTTTGTCGAGATGGCCTATTAAGAGGTGGAAAGTTGACAAAATATGTGATGACAAGGATTTCAGGTCAGTTGGTTTGCTCTGTTTTTTCTTCAAAGCATGTAAAGACAGCAAATTTATCATTCTAAAGAAGTATATTATTGTTTTTGCATAGTTTTGTAAATATTTTTGCATTTAATAGACTAATTGGATCTGAGACAGGAATGTTATAAAGGCCACAATCGACGTGCCGTGGACAGGCGAGTTGAACGTTTACTGCACTCAGCTCGATCATTTGGACGAAAGCTGGAGAATTAAACAGATTCAAACGATTATTCAGTCGAACGATCAACCTCACGTTTTGGCGGGAGGCCTTAACTCGCTCGATGCCTCGGATTACTCGTCTGAAAGGTGGAGTGACATTGTGAAGGTAATATATAAAAAGATGGTTCATTATTTTATTTTGTTTAGGAAGTTAATTATAGATTCTTCTGAGTTAGCTGAATCGTCATATGGTGGTAATTAACAGTACTATGAGGAGATGGGAAAGCCGAGTCCGAAAATTGAAGTCACGAGCTTCTTGAAGGGGAGAGAGTACGAAGATGCTAAGGAATTTCAAGGGGAATGTGAGCCTGTAGTTATGATTGCCAAAGGCCAAAGTAATAAGAAAACCATGCTTATTTTGACTAACTGAAATTTATACACTATTGTTTAGATTTGATGGCAATTTTAACTAACACTTGTTGTGTTTTGGACCAGATGTACAAGGGACATGCAAATACGGGACACGGGTCGATTACATTTTGGGATCACCTGGATTAAGCTACAATTTTGTGCCTGGATCTTACTCTGTCTTCTCCTCAAAAGGCACTTCTGATCACCATATAGTTAAAGTCGACATCGTGAAAGAATCCGATGAGGATCGGAAAAGTAAACGAACGCACGAGAAATTCGGCCAAAGTGTCGCGAGGCTAACTACTTCATGTGCTTATATAGACACCACAAAAATAAGTTCGTGACAATTTTTTTTTCTTCATCTTCCGATTCATGTTTATATTGTATTAGGTCGGATAATTATGTAACGCTACAAGAAGTTGTTTACGTGTAATGATTGATCATTTAGTATTCGAAATGTAAGTACTTCTCTTCTGAATGTGGAAAGAAATTAAGAATCAAGAGTTCTAAGAAGAAACTGAAGTATTTCATTTGAAACTCAACATTTTTTTTTTTTTTTGTCAAACAAGAAACAGCAGTTTGTTTACAATGTGTTCATGCAGTGTACCACAAGTTAAATAAAGATAAAATCATGTGAGTTGTTTTCCCTTTGCAGTTCAAACCACAGTAGACCCAATAAGATGGCAAATCATTCATCACATCTATCACAATATACAAGCTTACTTTCATTTTTATTAACTTTTGTTAAGTAACTATTTACATTCGGAATATATTTAAGTTACCATCATGTTCGTCTAATCTCGGTTGTGCCTAAACGGGTACCCTATCCCGTGACGTTTATTGGGGAACAAAACGAAAATCGAACTTGAGACGGCCCCTAAAACCGAGGGCAAAACCATGAGCAGAACCTTCCGGGTGGACTCGAATGACGGGTAAAAGCACTCGACCGAGTTTGGATCCATAAGGGCCAGCACAAGAAAAACAACCAGCGAGAGAAACGCGTGCACAAAGTCCCCGAGCACGAGCCTGTAAATCGAAAGGTCCCGTTCGGAAGAGGTGTTGGGCCACTGCCCGGTTTTCGTGGCTATGCCGTACTGCGTGTCCCCTTGCCCGTCTGTGTAGCTGTCGGTGAATGAGGCAAAGCAGCAAGAGAATGCGCAGATCGTGATTAGCATAGCCGAGAAGCATTTGTTTGTGACATTGCAATGGCCATTGTTGGTTAAGAGAGGGTTGAGGAATTGGAACAAGAACACGGTGCCGGTCGGGAGGAGCTTGATGAGGTTGCCGATGCCCGTAAGGGTCGACTGGGTTCGGGTTCGGGTTTGGGTTTGGGTTGTTGGTTGTGGCGGGTTGGGAGATTTCGAAGATATATTTTCTTCCATTTTTTTTTTTTTTCTGAAGTCTGGGCTTTGAGGTTTGCAAGAAATGTTTGTGTGAGTCAAGAATGTGTGTGTTATTGAGTTTTGTGGGGATTTATATAGTTGTGGGTTTGGGGATGGTTCTATGTAAAATGGCTTGATTTTTTTAAGACAATAGGTTGGGATTATAGTTTGCTTTTGCTCTTTGAAAGTGTGGCTTATTCTTTCTTGCCTTGAAACAGAGTGGGCTTCAGATTTTCACTTCTAACTCTTTTATTTCATTGTTTGTAGGAATGACGTGTTCAAGAAATTGCACATATTTATGTAAGTGTGTTTATTTGTAGTAATTCTATAGAGCCAACAGTTGGCTCCCTTATGGAGCCAACACCCAATTAAATTGCTCCATGTGGCGATGTCCCACATGGGCTCTATGTAGGACATCCTCACATGGAGGAATTTAATTGGGTGTTGGCTCCATAAGGAAGCCGATTGTTGGCTCCCTAGAAGGACTGGTTTATTTGTCTTTACTCATAAAAAAAGAGTTTTATCAATACAAGACTCGAAAGATGTATAAACTATCAATGCCGGGCATGAAAGATTTTTTTTTCTTAATTCGAAACTTATATGTTATAAAACTATCAAATTAAAGACCCAAAAAATGGGTAAACTATCAATGCGGGTGATATAGCCACGGCTAGTACTGCCGGCTCGACCGGTAGTATCTGATATAGCATGTCGTACCCGAACGGTTTTTATGGATATATATTGAAGAATACGCCTATACATGGGCTAAGATACTTTATATAATAATATGGGTTGAACCCAACCTAGGTCAGACCCAGCTTGGAATATAAGGTACACTCCCTCTATAAAAAGGGGGAGAAGGTACTCATTTCCTCTATTCTCTCCTCATTCAATTACTACTCTCTCTCTACACTCTCTCACTACTCTTTCTCTATGCATTCTCATAAGAATCCGGTACTGACTTAAGCATCGGAGGCCCAAAGCCGGGCACCCCTCCCGGGGTCCCCGACTTTGGGTTCTTGCAGGTACGGTGGTCGTCCGAGTCGAGGGAGCCCTGGTGACATCTTTGTCCCATCAGCGGGGCCTGAAAGATTTTTTTTTTTTTCAATTCGGGACTTAAATGTTATAAAACTATCAAATTAAGTCTATAATTAACAAAACTTATAACACCATTAAATTTTGAGTTTAAAAAAACAAGTTTGGCGTTTAAATTTAGAGTTTCAAAAAAATATAATATTTAATTATTACATTTTATTTTCATATTCATTCACATTTTTAGACTATCAATGCATATGAATGAAATTTCAATAAACATAATAGTCAATTTAAATATAAAAATCATATTAATTATTTACTTAATATAGTTACTTGTTTTATTCTTTTTAACAACAAACACATATATTTATGAGGACAATAATATTTATTTTATTTTTTTTTTGGGTACAATAAAAGAGACCGTAGTCTTATCGTAACACCTGACGAGGGTACGAAACCCCTAAATTATCATGTTCAAGCCAAGGACCTAATCCTAGCGGCGGAGAGGACATCCTCTGGAGCCCGATCGGATATAAACACTCAACTATGGAGGACATCCTCCGAGTCAAACAACTATGGTTAATTTGTGGAGGACAATAATATTATAAACACTCAAGAGTACGACTGGTTATAAATTATGTAAAAATGTTTGAATTAAAAAGTGAGTTAAAGAGTAGAAAAATTGATGGAATAATGCAAAATTTTTTAATATGTGAATGATTATGAAAATAAAATGTAATAATTATATATTATTTTTTTTTAAACTCTAAATTTAACACCAATCTTTTTTTTAAACTCTAAATTTAATGGTGTTATGAGTTCTGTTAATTCTAGAGTTAATTTGATAGTTTTATAACATTTAAGTCCCGAATTGAGAAAAAAATCTTTCAGGCCCCTCATTGATAGTTTACCCATCTTTCGGGTCTTTAATTTGATAGTTTTATAACATTTAAGTCCTGAATTGAGAAAAAAAAAATCTTTCAGGCCCCGCATTGATAGTTTATCCATCTTCCGAGCCTTGTATTGATGATACGTGAGAAACCTTGTACTATTTTGTGGTCTAATTTATATATTTGAGTATTTGATTTTATTGTATTATTCAAGTTTTCTCACGTATTTTATTTTGTGAACCGACATACACCAATAATCGAATTTTGTGTCTATTTTGCAGATATCACGTCTATTTTTAACGTGACATTAATGAGGTGGCAGCCATGTAGGCAATGACATGGATTTAAATCTATTTGGCTAAGGAATTAAAGAAAGAAAAGAAAAGAAGTTGAAGGGAATTTAATTCCCTAGCAAAAGGGGTGTGCGAGAAAGAGAAAGAGTGATTTGGGGGAATAGAATTTTGGATTTTGTGGACTCATCTTGGTTAACTTGTGCAAAGGAAGATTATTTTGACTGGACTCTTATTATTTTCTGGGCGGAATTAATCGAGGAAATTATTTTGTGGTACTAGAGGGGAGAGCAGAACGCGAGGGCGTGGAGGAGATTGAAGAATTCAAAGCCGTGGACTAGCTTGAGCATAAAGGGAGCTTGATATTTATTTATTTTTCTATTTTCTTTTTGATTTAAGACCATGACTATTAGTATTTGTTTTGATCATTTAGCTATAAGCTAAACATTTATTTCGGTTCTAGGGACGTTGAACCCTCGATGACTATGTTTGATTAATGCAATTTATTTTGTTTTACTTGTCGTATAAAATTGATTGTGTTATTCTAGTTACACGCCATAATATGTGTTCTTTAATTTAGCTTGATCACCTAAGTTGAGGATTGCATGTTAATTGCTAGATTTAAGGTTTCGATCCGTAATTGTCGCCGTTTTTATTTCATTCGTAGCAACTAACAGTCGTGAATTGTTAGGGATAACGCAACATAAGTTACATGAACCGAGCTTTTGTGTTTGTGGATTAGATCGGTCTATTTTCCTAGATTCTAATGTAACTAGTGGATTAAATTAGGAGAGCTTATTCCGAGTTATTTACTAGTTAGAATTAATTGAAGAGCCTATTTCGATTAAGTAAAATTAAGGGAAAATTCGGGTAGCAGAGCTTATTGCTATCTAGGACCGGTAGTTTTAGAAGACGAGTGAGACTTGATAAATGCATTAATTGGGCTAGTTATTCGAAGGTGTAGACCGACCTTGGACCGATTTCACTCTCATTTTTACTAGATTAATTATTTATTTTTGATTTCATCATCTTTTGCATCTAAACCATCCATCTCTAGTTTTAGTTTAGTTTCTCATTTTCCTAGTAGTTTCGTTCTAAATCAAAATCTCATTTTTTTTATTATTAATATAATAAAATCACGGTTTATACCACACTCCCTGTGGGATCGACCCTTGCTCGCCACTACTACTACTAGTAGGGGTAAGTCGAGGAAATTTTATAAATATATTTGTCGCGAGACGACGCGCGGCTAAAATTTGGCGCCGTTGTCGGGGAGTGGCGCGAGATAAATAGTGATTTTATCTGTGTTAGTTAGTTTATTTTGTGTCAATTTTCAGTTTTTCGGTTGAATTTTTGGTGTGAATTTTCGCTCTTTTTCTGCTATCGCCCCCGGTGATAACAGAAAATACGTCGGTTTTTTACGTTACATTATTTCCGAATTTTGTCACGTTTGAGATAAAATTTTGTCTCGATTTCAGGAGAATGAAAACAAGGTCTTCAGGAGCTAAAGAATTTGAATATTATCTGGAGATCACGAGACGGGATACCGAACTAAGAAAGAAGGCTCGGCAAGAGAAAGAGGCGATTTTCGGCAAGGGTATCCTGTTCAAAATTGAAAGCGAGGACGTAGAGGACGAAAGTGAGAGTGATCAGAGCCAAGAAGATACCAATATCATCACCGATAAAGCACTAATGGCGAACGAGGAGCGTACTTTGAGGCAACTTGCTAATGTTGTACTTCCACAAC